CCTCCTTCATGGCTTTGCTGAGCCTGTGTTTTGCTTCCTTGTATTCAGCCAGGATCCTCCTCCAAACGTAACTGTTTGAGTTTAACTGTGAACCAGCATTTGTCATTATTATAGTTCACTCTGGTGCATGTTGGAATACAGCAGTCCTCGTAGAAGCTAATTTAAGATGGCACAGCATCAGTGCACTCATCTAGGCATTTCTGGCTCCACATTTTTGACCTCCTCACAGACCGGTTTAGAGTTGTAATTTCGGGCTGTATGCTGGGATCAGATGGACCATCACTTGGTTGGTGTGGCCCTGTGCAACACAGGGCTCAGCGTGATAAGCACTGCTGATAGTGTAACAGTGGTCCAGAATGTTCTCCTCTCTGATTGGACATTTACGAAGATCCTGACTTAAGTTGCCATGGATGATAACCAGGGAATACGGATTTGTTCACTCCTCAGCCAGAATCTGATCAGCAAGTACCCGCCGTGCTTTGAGCACTTTAGTTTGCAGTGGAGTGCAAACACCAACTAGAAAAGAGGGCGTGAACTTGTGGGAAGAGTAGAAGGGTTTACCCTTTATAAAAAAAAAATAAGATTTTAATTCAACAGAACAATATTGTCGAATTACTGTCACGTCCTTGCACCAGCCATCATTAAAAAAAATTAAAAATCCCACCTCCTTTCATTTTGCATGAGAGTCCTTCCTGTATCAGCATGGAAAAGTTGGAAGCCAGGCAGCTGCAGCAACAAAATACTCCTAGCATGCTAGCCTTCAGAAGCTCAAGAATGTTTTTAGCTAAAAAAAAAAAAAAAACTATAGCTTCACTTCTGATTCTGCAAGTGAATGCTCCTTAAAAACTACTCAAACACTGGAGAGATACAAATTGGCATTTTATGGCTTGTTCCCTTAGTCCTCAATAGGAGTGGTGTAGTCTGTGTTATTTGCAGGATGTGATACACTGCTAACCCACTAAAATGCTATAGGGTATCTGTATTCCTGCTTAAAATGTACAACAATACGCTGCATACCCACTAAGAAAGCTAAGGATTTCTGTATCACTTAAAAATGTGCAAGGAATCAGGGATACACATGTTTTGTGACAGAAATTTCATAAGTTAATTGTTTTCACTAACACTGGATTTTGATATTTTAAAATAAAAATGATGGGATTGTAGGGTGTTGCGATGACGTGTGTGTAGAAGGAGGGCTGGGGTGAATCATCACATTATACCCACTACTACACCAGTGCTCAGTAGTGATGGGGGATTTTAACTTCATGATATAGAGACAAGGTACATTTTTAAGTACATTTCAAGCTTAAAATGGCTTAAACAGATCAATAAAGGCAATGTAATGAAACCGTAATATTCAAAACTTTTACCTGTGAACTTAGGGTCAGGATACAGCCTTAGAGAACTATCAAATTCAGTGTATGTTTTCAATTCCTCCTCCTTTATATCTGAGAGTGGAATTAAAGGCATATATTTGTATATGTATAACTGAAATATCTGGGGTAAAATACTAAGCAGAACATACTAAAACAGTAAAAATATTAACCAAACTTTAACCTCTGCAATTATGATGGTAATTACAATACCTCAACATTGAAGCCAGTGTTCAATATGCCAGTCAGAATAACAATGGATACAAGATTCAAGAGATTTTTTTGGCATTTGAATACACACAGACAGTACAGGGGCACAGGAATTTTTTTGTGCGGAGTTCTTAGAGTCAGCAGTACAAAAAGAGAAATAATTCAAAGGATAAGTAATAAGGACTCAAAATAAATAGTAAGGTGATACTGTAAAATGCAATAAAATACCCACTTGATGTACAAAAATAAGTAATAATGAAACACTGTAAAGTATAAACACACTATTAGGATACACACTGGAAAAACACTGAAACAATATAAAACAACACTATAAAACACTGATTTACATTTAAGAATACTCTGCCTGAGTGGTATTCCCAAACCAGACAGGGATGCCATTTGTGAGGATACTCTCTATAAGTCTTCTGTAGGCCTGGGTTCGGAGGTGGTAACTGGGTCTTGCCTTCCCTAGCAGCCTGATGAAGTGAAGCCACTGCTGGGCCTTTTTCACTGTAACAGTACTGTATTGGTCCAGCTCAGGTATGATGCCACATGAAGACCCAGACACTTCTGTCAACCCACTCCACCTCAGCCCTTTGGATAATGAGGCTGCAAAGGCGGGAGGGGTTTCCTCCTGAAGTCCATGATTAATTCCTTGGTCTTGTCTATGTTGAGATTACAGTCAATTTCTTCTCCCCAGACAAGGATATTATTGACCAGTTCCCTGTAACCTGACTCGTCCCCCCACCCGTGATGAATACGTGTTTGAAGGGCAGGTCCATCTAATTCAGAGCAGATTTACATTATGCGCTGAAGTCCACACACACAAAGGTTTAAGAACAGAATGGTGTCCCTGGCTGGAAGAAGGGAGAGCATTTATTTTGAAGTATTGAGAAGCACAGAACACTCCAACCTGATATGTGAGCATCCATCAACCTATAGCAGACAGAACTACAGAAATTGATTAAAGTTTCATTTGATTTGCGCAGGAGAAAACAATCTCACAGGGCAGCCTGACAGGATGAAAGTTCATGTCAAAGAGTAAATGATAAATCCTGCTGATAAGGAGGGAGTGGATCACTCATGAGGTACAGCACCTTATCTGGGAAGAAAGGGTGCCTCTTTTAGCTGCTTAAGGATAATACTGAGTTTGTATGGAACAAAGAGCATAAAAGGGTCAATGTCAAGAAATAGCTTCCAAAGACCATCTGCTGGACCTAATTATCTCCTACAACAGCAAAAACTGTACTTCCTCTTTTGAATTCAGAATTACAATGAACATAAATCTACAAAGGAATAAGAATGTAGTGAAACATAAGGTCTTTTAACCATTTCAGTTGTTGTAAAAACTATGTAACACCCACATGAAAACATCCATCTAAACAGCCAACCAGCCATTTTCTGTACCCGTTTGTCCTGTTCACGGTCGCGAGGGTCTGGAGCAATCGGATGCAAGGCAGGGAAGGCATGTACCATTCACACCTACAGCCAACATGGTAACTCCAATCCACCTCAGCATGTTTGGACTGTGGGGGAAACCGGAGTACCCAGAAGAAACGCCATGATGACACGGGAAGAATGTGCAAACTATGCTGCATACTCAAACCCTGGTCCCAGAGATGTAAGTGTTAAGCACTGCTGCCCCACTAAACAACAGATTTAAATTATTTACAGCTGCCAAATGAACATGATTTTTTTTGTGTGTATAAAGACTCCAGACTTGAGTTGAATGGTTGTCAGTCAGGAAACGCCGCTGGTTATTTAACCATGTTATTTTCACTACGTTCAGTTTTGTAACTTGCCAATTTGTTTTATGCTTTGTATTGTTCAGATGACACTTTTAAGAGCCATTAGAAACCTGGAACGTCAATGCGGAGAAGGCACATTAATCAGAATCCTTTTTATTACCTAAGTAAAAACAAAGTTTCCTCACAAGGAATTTGCCTTGGTGATGCTATTACAAGACATTACATAGAACAGGGCTATTCAACTCACGGTCCTCAAGGGCCGAGCCCTGCTGATTTTCCAGCCTTCCTTCACTTGTGAGCCAGGTGTGAAGCCTCTGACCAATCAGAATCAGTAATTATTAAACTAACTACCTGGGAGAACTGAAAACAAGGCCTGGATTTGGAAGGCCTGGCTTATCTCATTTTTATTTCAGTTCACAATTTTTTTGTGTTTGTTTTTGATTCAGTTTAAGATAACGCTGGTTTCAAACACATTGGCTCCATCAATCAACACGGATTAAGCCTAGAATCTAGCCTAAACATTTCTCATTTATTGGATGGAAATTCTAAGGCAGCAGGCAGACAACTTCATTACTTTAATAATGTGTGTATTTAGCAACTACATAGACAAAACATATTACAAAGCTGTCCATACTAAGGGTAATTTAACCAACAAAGACAACACTTAGTGGTTTTGCCCATTCTGTGGTAAGTATTCCAAACCCGGCACAGTGTACAAACCACATTTTTGTTTTGTGATAAGTTGAACTACTCCCATAATTAAATTTGATTTTGAAGGGAAACATTTGTTTTAATGAGTTGAAGTGTCTTAGAAATCATAAAGGTAATTTCACTGAAATAAAAAAAACGATCTATTGATTTAAAATAGTTGACATTTTCGTCATTGACTTCATTGACTAATTGCGGCAGCCCTAGTCTATATTACGTTGGTTTTTTTTTTTTTAGTCTTGTAAAGTACAAATAACTTTATGGAAGTGAGTGAGTGTTTTGTAGACCTGTTGCTATGATGTCTAGGGTGGGTTATTTAATGCTAGACATAAATAGCGCTTCAGTTTCAACTAGCATTATAAGTATACCAGAGTTTTCTTCGCTCCCATCAAAATGAAATGCTACCAAGTGGACCAATCACAGTTCTTTCAGTCTGCGAAGCTGTGAGGTGGAATTTCATTGCTGGGGAGGTGCGTGTCAGGCCACAGCATAAGCTACGGCACAGGGTCCATGGCTAAGCCTTTCTTACAGCGTTGATTGGACACAGAAGTATATATCAGCCTTTAAGGTTGTGGGATGTCATGGAGTAATTCAAGATCCGCAGTGATCTATGGTTGACTACACTACTGAAGCACTATTTAGGACAGAATCGGTAAACAGACCTTTGACCCCTTGTACACAAATGTGTTTGAATACCAGTTTGCACATTGCACTCAACTGTTAACTGGATTATCCCATTGTAACATTGCCTGGTGGCGGCGGAAATTAACCCCAATTCAAAGCTTGCTAGAAGTCAACGCAAAACACGGCTCCTAACTTTAGCAGTGAATGGATTTGCTCATGGTCCACACTTGTTACCCAAACATGTACGTCTGTACCACAGGTCAGTCAATAGCTGACAATTGCAGATTCACAACTGAGTTTAGTTTAAATAATAATAAAAAAAGCACCAGACACTGTGTAAATCTTAAACTATTTAATCATACGAAAACAGAGGTACCACACATGGCATACAAAAGGACAGCTTGAAGAGTTCAGTGTTTTTAGCCCCATACCAAGATCTTTATGTACTACTATCAAGACAAAATTAAATCCTGAAACAAAATGCTTGCATGTTCCAAACTCAGTCTACAGAAATCTTATAAAAGGAAACATTATAAGCATCTAATTTTTTAAACTATGTTTTACATCAAAAATCACACAATGACAAAAACAGAAAAGTATTTTTTTCAAAACTCTTGGCTTTTGCCTTCCAATGCTGAATATTACTGAAGGACAGACTTAGTTTGGTCAGATGCAAATTGTAGAAGGCTTCACTTTTGATTTAAATTTTCACATTGTAAAACAGATCAACATTTTCTTGGTAGAAAAGGCAAAACTGTACAAAACCTAATTTTAAATATAATCCATCACATAAGAATTTAAAAAAATCCCACAGGTTTCACTCAGGAACAAGAAAAAGCAGCTGGAAGTCAGTCGCTACATTGTCTCAGATCAATGAAACAAGGAGTCTAATCTGAAGGACATCTTTTAATGTCTCAGTTTGAAATTTGAAAAATCGGGGATCAGGGATTTTGTTTACAGTCCACAAATTTGTTTTTCCAGTTTTGTATTAGTACTAGCAGGTGGTATCCATCTAAAGTTAGAGAAAACTAATCAAACCAGTCTGCTCCAGGATGGTCTAGGTCTGGTCTGATCTGAATTCCATCAAGGACAAACAGGTTCAGAATTTGAAAAGTGTGATTTAATAATACCCAACACAGAATCAATATTGCATTTATACCACTGCACTAATTTATACGGTTGGGAATTTATGTTTCCAGCTCAAGGGGGAAAAAAATCCCACTCAAACAGTTTCATAAGGCATGTGCTCTACAAATCCCTGGTTATTAACAAAGCATAAAAACATCCACCTTCTAAAAACCATTGCTTTTGACCATTTTTAAGCAGTTGTGGAATGCTGCTCCAAACATTTCAATTTAAGGTCAAATCAAGACAAGTATGAACATAACTGAACTGATCACCAATTCATCAGCATGATCGATACAATACTTTGCGCTGCCAGGACAAAGTGAGTACTCTAACATGGAACACACTGAGACGAAAAATATGTGCCTTTCCAAAGTCACACACCTTACAAATTTCAGAAGATAAAGCAGTGTTTCCCATTCAAAAAAAATGCAAAATATGTGAATTGTTCAATTGCAAACACTTATGCTGTGATGTCTCTCACCTATCAAGCAATATACATTACAAAACACTTTACAATGCTTTTAAACTAAATACTTAAATTTCCTCAAAGCAATAACCCATAATCTTTAATGAACAGGGTCAGTAATGATAAACATGAGTTACAGTATGGCAGGATGGGTGTTTTATTTTGAGTCCCAGCATGAATATATGTGGATTGAAGATTTGGGCACATTCACAGGTTTTAAGAAGGGGGGGTAGGGGGAAGGGGAGAAAAACCTACTGTGATATAGCTGAATACATTACTCACATCAGCCACCAAATAAGTGACTGGAATACTGATCTTCTGAGTGTGATTTAGTCTAACGAAATACTCGCGAACCTCATTCCTGAAACGAGCCACACTGCACCCCATGCAATGCAAACATTAATTTCATAGACAGTAATACACAAATTCATTATAATCGGAGCCCCAACATAGTCAACTCACCTGGTAAGAACCTGAATGGAACCCGTTTTGATTAGTCACTGCAACACTAAGTAACCTCAAACACAGAAACAAAACCACCTTGTGTGTTAATGCACAATTAAACTATTGGGAAAGCAACAGGAGGTACAGAAAATGTGACCAAACATGCTAACTTTTGGCACTAGTTTATTCATTTCCAAATTTCTAAACAAAAATAAATCACATTTTGCCGAAGATTTCAGTGCAGTTACCAAAATTATGCATGCAAGATACAGGCTAAACTAATTGTGACAAGTAACTGAATTGTGCCCATTTTAGATTTTCATATCAAACTTCAGACAAATGCTGATTTCCCAACGAAAGCAAATTATGTGACTGTGGTGGCTGGACACACTAGACAGAAGAGGCAATCCATGTGTCTAATGACATCACTATTTATAGGAGCTCCCAAATGACACATTACAGTCAGCTAGCCTAGCACATTTACAAAGTCATCCTCAGTTTAAGCATAATGACATAACATCCTAAAAAAGTTAACAGGAGAATACACAACCACACGCACACACACAAAGTAAATTCTATAAATCTGTTTCTGACAAAAATGAATAGGAAGACTGCTCTAAACACAAAATAGGGAAAAGAAAACCTGTAAACAGGCAAAACTATTACAAAAATTACACTTTTGCAATATCTAGTGGTTACCTTAGGAAGTTCTAGAAAAATAGATTTTTGCTTGTAACAATATTTAAATGTAACTTTATACATTTTTTTCTTGAAAGAGCAGTCTTTCTAACTCACTATCAACAGTAATGAAGAGCACACAAAAAAAACAAAAATCCTTGTATAATTAAGCGTCAAAAGTTAAGTGTCAAAAGATGAAAATTTCAAGCATCAGAGAAGCGCAGAGGACAACGACTGGACGATGAACTTTTGACGTCACATCGACATGCTAGGCAAACGATGAACAAACGGGAACGAAGATATCTAGAATGAAACAAAACAACAAGGAGAACAACCTAGTTAAAGCAGCGATGAAACAAGGAAAGGAAAAAAGGAAGATCACAAATGATTATCTTTGCATGGGACTTTACGGGCACACATCCTAAACATTGAACAATTAATGCAGAACAGAGGAAGAGGAGGGGGAGTTATGAGCAACATGCTAAGGAAGCTACAGATGAGAACTGACAGCACACAGTAAGACACCACACAGACTGCCTAATCCACATTGGATCGGGACTTGGTGCTCTTATGGCAGATATTGCTTTGGAGGAAATTAACTTTCTAAAAAGAAAAATGGCAAAAATGATCACTGTCAGGGTTGTCAGTGCATAAACTGGTGCTAATTTTAATTGGGAAAAGGTAGCTTAAGTTTGAGTGGTGTGACTGTCATAGTAGTATGTACAAGATAAAGCATTTAAACATTGACAAAGTGCAATTTAAGAGGAACATATTCAGAGTAGCAGATCTGCACTGTATGAATGTGTGAACACTGATCAGCTAAATTTAGGCCACGCAGATCTGTCTGAAGTTCAAAACTTAATTTTACAAATGAATTACGTACTCTAATATGGTAATTAGCTATAGTAGTAATAAAAGGGTGTGAAACAAACAAAAAAAACATGAGACCTGGAATTTTGGCAACATTTTCAAGCCTGGGCTTTAAGACCACATTCCGCTTTTTGCCCAAGGACAACTTTTGCTATGTGACAGAATTTGGCACATTACTTGGCCAGTAAAGAAGAGTCAGTGTAAGGCTTCCTTATCAGCTTATAGGCCAACAACGTCACTGCGATCTCGTTCATTACAGATCCATCTAAAATGTCAAATAGGTGCTGCTTTAACTGTGCAGCTGTATGTAAGAAATTTCAATTACATATGCAGCGTAGTACAGCCTGTATGCCCCACCCCATCTAAAGCTGATTCAGTCCATGCTGTTTTCTGGTGAGCGTTATCCTTCTTGTTCATTATAATGGCAGGGGCAGAAGCACTGTGGTGGTCACACAGAATCTAATACCTAAATATAGACATCCATTTCCAGCTATGATGATTGGCTCATGTTTACAACCAAGAATGGTCTGAAATATTTAGCAGCATGGTAAATTCTTCCATTGATAGTATTCAGCCATTTTGACTTGTGTATCAGTAATAACATCACGGAGTGAAAAGGCTAACAAGTCAATGTCTTAAACCTTGCACACCCAAATGCATTATATAATTAATACATTTACCAATTTAAATACTACAATTCTAAAAAATACTGCTGAAGTAAAAGTTTAAGTAAAAATGTTTTATTAATTTAATTCAGAGAAATAATTTACGCAATAAATAGTCTCCAAAACTCTGGAGAAATATAAAACCCTATAAAAATAGAAAAGGCATAATTTTGTAATATACATCTGGACAATTTCCATTTGTATAAAAACCATTTGTATGACCCTGGATGCCTAAGAACTGCTTTAGTTATTACATAACACTTACATCACCAATTTGAAAGATTGTAGATCACGTCAACTTCAATAATAAACACACTTAAAAAAAAAAAAAAAAAAAATTTGCAGAAAAAATAGGGGGTTTGTCTGTTATCTAAAAAGGTCCAAAAGGTAAATGACCAGTTGATGATAAATTTTTCCTGCTTACCAGCAAACACAAGACAGGAAAGGGGAATTCTATAACTTGGATATGAAAACTGTTGCCATTTTAAAACATATCCTCCTTTCTCATGTCAACTGGATGTTAGATAAAATTCAGAATTATTGCTGAAAAACTGGTCAAATGTGATGATATTCAGCATCAAACCGTAGAGTGACATTAATATAGCAGAGACAAACAGTTGAACTTGAACACAAGGAAGCTGGATACTAATCCTTTTTTTGACAGGTAGAAAACTAGCAAGAACTCAAAGGCAAATAATGTCTGACAGGACCTAACTAGTGTGGTGTTCTGCAAAATCTTCAGCCGTTTATATGAAAACAAAAGAAAAAAATTCAAAACTCATTGTGGATCCCTGAACAAAAGTCAAGTGCTCAGCAAGTATGCGTAGGTCTGTATCTCTGTGTGTGTCTATATTAGAGTGAGATATAGTACGAGTGAGCCAAACACCACCTCATTACAAAACTACCAAGACTGAGCAAAGTGGCAAACCAGGGTTTAGAAAAAATTAAAACACCAGCCTACTACCCCAAGTCTAAACAGTCTTCAGCATTAGGCAATATATTTCAGTGAATAGACAATACATTCTAATGACTAAAAGCCTCATCGCATCATAGAACTCATTAAATTTAATGTTAAACAGTGAAAAATATAGTGACTTCTGCATTTGAGGAGTTGCCTAGTTGTCCCCTGGACTGCTCTGAAATATAATTTAGGGTTTGGACAACCCTTGATTAACATGGGGAAAAGGCAGTTTGTGGGAAATCTTGCGTTACTATAAATGGATGGGACTAATCAGTTTGGTAACAAAACTCAATGTAAAACGATGATCCAACCAATTGAACTTTGGGGATAAAAACAGCAGTATTATATTGGCTACAGGGTTCCATTTGTATAACACCTTTTAGACTTCTACTGTTACACAGCAACCTATATCATATGGCATCTTAAGAAAACATCAGGGCTTTTTCCAGTTGAAAACCACAACAAAGTAGTACCCATTTTCAGTGAACAAATGCCTTAATATTAACATCTGTCACTTTTCATTTTTATCTCCTTCCTTGCTAATACAGTGAACCGGAAGGAACCCCAGAGGAATGTAGCTAGGTTTGTGTAATACTCAATGGGGCTCTCACACCACACTCCACTTACCAGAAAACATTTTATAACAAGTCCATTCGAGAGAAAAAACACTCAGTATGGCTTGCTATCATTTTTGGAGCGTTTCAGCTGAACCTTCAGTCGCTTCATGCCGATCTGGAAACCGTTCATTGACTGAATGGCAGCCTGAGACGAAACTGGATTGTCATAACTTACAAAGCCTGAAAAGAGAAAGGGAAGGTGTCACTAACTGCTCTGCCCAAGCAGACTATTCTTCAGTGCACTGATTATTAGACCGACACACGTGGGCAATTTAAGTCTGAAATGCTGACTGAATTGCAACTGCTTCATGTTTTAACACTCACAGGGGCCACCAGTCACACTACTCACTTTCAAGAACTACCTTAACACATAATCATTCCATTTGTGCCATCAGGTCTGACTGCTTATATTGAAACCAGCACAGCATGTTTAGAGTAATGTTCTTCCCTTTGAGGCTTAACTTAAATATGCCGTTCTCCATTTCACTTACCAAAACACTTGCTAAGGTTGGTCTGCTTGTCTATGAACACCTTGGCAGAAATGACGTTGCCGAACGGCATGAACATCTGGAGCAGATCCTGATCTCCAAACTCTTGGGGTAGGTGGTAGATGAAGAGGTTGGCACCTTCGGGACCTGATATTTAAACCAAGTAGGAAGGAAAGCCAACAACCATCAAATGTTTCCAATACTGAACCTTTTGAGAAGATCTTACCAAAACTGACAAACCACAAAGTTGCATTCTTCTTAGGCAATGATTTGCACTAATGATTTTAGGAATCACCTACAGTAAGTGTTGCAACTCATACTTAAGAAATCTGTGAACCCCAGACTCTGGTTCTTTCTTGTGCTTGCAGCCCATTGGAAAGAAGATAAGTAGAGGGTGACAAAACACTGACACCCCTACCCACTCCACCCCCAGGAAAGGACCACTGCCATAGCAACATACACACCAGCATACCAATATCAACAATTTACAAAGGAAGAGTAAGAAAGGGCACCAAATAAAAGCCAACTTCAAACATTTGGAATGAATAATCACTGTGACAAACAGACCAAAAAGCCAGCTAACACACACCTTCCTTCTGGCTGCCAGCAGCACCCATGTTCTGCTGGGAGAGTAAGTTCTGGTTGTAGAGGCTAGGCAGGGCAGCTGCGGCATACTGCTGGATGCCTGAGTATGCCTGGCTCAGCGCCTCCATTGTGCTACCTGTACCATTGGACAGGCCTCCACTGCCAAGCCCACCATTCAGAGCAGCCATTCCTGTAGATTCAGGACAGGGTGAGATTCTGACAGGCAAAACAGGCTACAACCAGTACAAGACGAGAAACAGACAGCTGTCATTTTTAAAAACACGTATTTGACTCCTACACTAACTGGGCTGATGTGGACAACATTTCAATAACTTGCATACTGTCACAGGTCTTTGGAACCACTTTTGTAGGCAGAAACTCATGTCATGTTGGATTCATATCCAAGCATGTATCCAAATAGTTACAAACATCTGGAGCGTCCAAGAGTTTCCCTGGGACACCCGCCATGCTCACCTGCGAGAGACCCCATGTTGAGTCCAGCCCCAGCCCCTGCTGCCAGGGACTGAAGGGCCCCAAGGGAGGCCATGGGGTTGACTGAAGAGTTGGTGCTGGAAGTCGGAGATGATCCTGCTGCAGAAAAAGGAAAGACCTGACAATGTAAGGTATTCACAAGTACCTGGGGGACGTGTCGCAGGGCAACACAGAAGCTGGCGATAAGAGGAGCAATTCAGAACTAAGGTTATCCTTAAATAAAACGAAACTAAAAAGCACAAATGACACACGAAAGCTAAACTAAAATTAAAACAAACTAATAAGAATAGAAATTAAAATTTTGACCAATATTTAAACTTTATCAATATTCAAAGTTACTGTCAATCAGCTAATGACATTACTACTACAATAATGGAGATAGTTGCGCTGAATGATCAGCCATTTTTGATAGTTCAAAATGAGGCATTTCATTGGCTCATTCACCACTCAGAAGATATACCAGCCTGTACCAGCCTGCGACACATTTCAAATTCATTATTGAATCTGGTTGACATATCGAGTTTTCATTTTCCACAGAATAAAACCAATGTAAGCTTATTTTGCTTATCTGCACCTGTAAGCTCGGGAAGCAGTCATAAGAGTTAAATGCACCTATCTGCAAAGGTACAAGCACAATATGTGTCTGTAAAATTACCTTGTTTGGAAGACCAGTACATCAAAACTAAAACGACCTTGAAGCTAATTCATTGAACGGTGCACACACGCAACTGCAGAGCTACATCCTATCCAAGGAAACTCATTCAAATTCAGGTCACTCTATACTGTAGTCTAACTGGGTTTAAATGAAGAGGGAAACCGTTTGACCAACACATGTAGGTCTCCCCGCGTGCTGTCTCTGTGCTGTCTCTGTGCTGTCTCTGTGCTGTCTCTGTGCTGTCTCTGTGCTGTCTCTGTGCTGTNGTGCTGTCTCTGTGCTGTCTCTGTGCTGTCTCTGTGCTGTCTCTGTGCTGTCTCTGTGCTGTCTCTGTGCTGTACCTGAGCTGGTGAGCACGCTGAGAGGGCTGCTGGAAGTGGTTAGCGCACTGGAGCCCGTGGGTGTGGACTGGGCGGCGCTGGCTGCGGCCGCCAGGGCTGCCAGGTTCTGCATAGCGTTCAGGCCTGGAACAGAGAGCCGGGAAGCGTGCTTACTCGTATGGGCAGCTGCAGAGCATGCATGCATATGCAGTTTACAGGAGCAGAGAGGCCCAGTCCATCATAGGTTTAAAATCAGCAAAGTTTAACATGACAGCACAAGACCAAACTGTTTCACTTGTGCTTTAGTGTCATGAGCTCCCCAACACAATACCACAGACACACAGGACAGGAAGCAGACAGGTATCCCAAACTACAGCAGAGGGACACTGTCCTGGGTGCCGGTCTCAATCAGCAATTCATAAAGGCACAAACCATGTACATATGGTTACCTGTGGAGCAAGCAGGGAGCACCCTGTGTGTAGTAACCACACATAAGGGAGGGGCCTTAAAAATCCATAGTCTGACATGGGGGGAGGGGAAATGGAGACAGGAGGGGAGGTTTCTACCTGACATGGGATGCAAGTTGTTGAGTGTGTTCCCAGAAGAGGCGGACTGGAGAAGCTGCAAATAAAGCTAGACATTACACCAAAACAGAGAACAGAGAACGTTAGGACTGCTTCCACTCTGGTGAATACTGGAGAGAGAGGGAGAAAGAGAGTGAGAGAAAGAGAGAGAGAGGGGGAGAGCGAGAGAGTTGCTGAAGGAAGAGAGGCAGAGGAAACAGGGAAAAGCCAGAAGGAAGAATAGAGAAGAGGGAAACTTCCACAGCACACCCATGGAGCAGCACTAACAACAGCAAACAAGGCCTGACGTCTATGCTGGACTGCGTGATGGTGTGAGGGCCTAGAATGGCCAAAAGTCAATCAGGATAAACCTGCAGATCATTCTGAATTCTAGATTGCCGGAAGAAGCCACTGTCCAACATAGGCATGCAGCCACAGTGGCAAAAACACATTCACTAAATTAAACAGTGAGTACAAGCAGAAGGGGACCGCACTGGCTTTCCATGTGCGGCGTTTTCACTGCTAGTGACTGTTTTAAAGTCTAGTAGGGCAAAAATTACATGTATTATGTAACAGGACTTAAAGCTAAAAGGATACGTGCAAGTTATCTGAGCTATGATCAACATCCCACTGTTAAAGCAGTCAGTCATAAAGAAATGTTTACATTTCAAAGTCATCTACAGAGCAACCGAAACCCAGTTCCTTAATACGGTTTCTGTTAAAGCGCAGAGTAGCGGGAGCAGGACTTACTGCGAGGTACTGCGGCCCGAGTGAGTTCAGCCCCGTCAGGTTCCCCCACATAGATGCAGCGTTGAGCTGCTGCATCTGCTGCTGGAGTTGCTGGGCAATGCGCTTCTGCTCCTTGTCCTTCTGCGTGTCAGCGAACTTCACCACGACGGGGGAGGAGCAGCCCTGTAGGCATGGAGGGGGCAGTGTGCCATGGCTTTGGGTATATGGGTCTCTGAGGAACTCCAAAGGCTAATGCATTAAGGAGAAAGATCTACCATACACCAACAGACAAGCAAGCCTCTACGGGTTCAAGAAGGAAACAGGGGATGACAAACCACAAAGACTCCAGAGGGAAATCTCGGCGCTGTTCTATTTGTGAGAGCGCTCTCTGGATGGCACTGTCCATCCACCCTTACCTCCATTGTCTGTGACTGATGCATTGCTTTAATGGCTGTCTGTGCCATCTGCCTTGCTGTATAGGTGATGAAAGCACAACCTGCAACATATGTACTTGTGTCACTTGTTGACCTCCCAAAAAAAAGTTCTATGGTAAAAGTGAAGCAGGCTGTTAATGGTGCAGCGGCCACCTTACCGCGGCTCAGTCCATCAGGACCACGCAATATTCTGCACTCCTCAATCTGCCCACATGGTGAAAACATAATCCTGATGTCATTCTCATTGCACTTCTTTGAGATCATTCCTATAAATAACTTCCTGTCTTCAACCGCTGAAAAGCAAGCCAGAAACACATCAAGGGTCATTAGTGCAGTTAGAAGTTCATCTTCATAAGGAATACTGACCACGTACACGCAAGCCACTGAAGCATTCAGCTTTTGTGCGGTAGCTCCACTAACATGAAAGTCAAATCCATTACTTCATGAAAAACACAGGACATGATCAGCTATACATGTAATAAAAAGCACTCAAGCCTATTTTTTTATTTAAAAATCCTCAGTGGTGTGTTGTACCTGGAGGAATCACCCGGCTGCTCACATACAACCTCTAACAGTAAAACCAGTCCAGGGAAACATTTCTTTAAAGCAACGAGTAAATTTATCATCAGGACTATTTGTGTATATACGTGCTTCACTGAGAGGTTGGCTATAAATCCGTTTTCCTTTTAGGGCCCATTAAAAAAAGAGCAGAGTCTGCAGACTGCTTCTCTCTGCAGCCAGGCTATTCCCGCAAGTGCAGCTTTGCCCCATTTGCAGCAAATTTATATTTACCATTGTTCTTCTCACTGTCCGCTGGCTTCATCTGGATTGGGTGATGCATCTGCAAAGAAAAGATTGCGAAGTGAACTTTACAATCAAATTCTAACTCTGACAACTAATGTTCTGCTGTAAATCCAGCACAATTCATACACAAACAGCAAGGTAGAAGCTTAAACTGGAAAAGTCCAAAATAATGCAGGTTGTATTTGTAAGTAGGGGTCAGCAATATAACCAAAATCTGTTTTATTAGTCATTGATGATAGAGCATTTTTTTGTTTACAAACCAACCAAATCGGTATGTGATGTTATTTTACCATTTCACCACTGAACCAGCAACTCCATCTTCATTGTTAAATTATAATAGTAAACTTAATTAGGGCATGTAAAATACTGTACATGAACAGATGTGGATAAATTTGTTGGTACCCTTCCATGAAAGAACCCACAATTGTCTGAAATACCTTGAATGACAAAAGTAATTGGCAATCAATGTTTATTCGATATTTAATAAAAATCAGTCTTTGCTTTAGAGATTTGATTTCAAACAGAATATTTTAAACACCACAAATAAAAAGTGATGGGACCCATAACCTAATATTTGGTTGCACAACCGTTAAAGTAAATCTCAGCAAACAAGCAATTCCTGTAGCTCTGAGTCTTTTGCAACCATCAACAGGTAGTTTGGCCCGTTCTTCCTGAGCAAACTTCTCCAGCGGTGTCAGGTTTGGAGGGTGCCTTCTTCACACTGCATGTTTCAGTGCTTTCAATAGATGCTTGATAGTATTCAGATCTGGGCTCAGGGAACCACTTCAGAATAGTCCAGCACTTAGTTCTTAGCCATTCTTGGGTGCTTCAGCTGTGTGTTTTGGTGCGTTATCCAGTTGGAGAACCCACGACCTGTGACTGAGACGGAGCATTCAGATACTGGGCAGTACATTTTGCTCCAGCATGTCTTGATGTTTGGAGAGTTCATTGTATCCTGCACAGACTCAAGACACCCCCTGCCAGATGCAGTAAAACAGCCCCGAAACATAACTGAGGATCCTCCATGTTTCGTACTAGGTTTGGTGTTCTTTGCCTTGACAGCTTCATTTTGTGTCTCTGGACACAGAACTGATGTGACTTGTCAAAAAGCTCCAGTTCTGTTTCATCTCTCAAAAGGACATTATACCAGAAACTTTCTGGCTTTTCAATAAGCATTTTAGCAAATTCCAGTATAGATTCTTCATGTGTTCCTTTCACCAGTGGAATTCTCCTGGTTTCCTGGGTTTTCTTCCATTGAACCCATTGTCACTTGAACAGTGACAGGTGGTGTGATCAGACACTGATAAACCCTGAGTTGGGAGCTTGTATCTCTCTGGAAGGTGTCCTTGTCTTTTTGTCTACCATTCCCACTATCTTTCTGCCCAATCTGGTGAATTTTTCCTCTTGCAGCTGTGTCCAGGGAGGTTCGATAGACCTTAAATTTCTTAATATTTATACCTGTAGTCACAGGAACATCTTGGAGATTGTCTTAAAACTTCTGCCTTTAATATGCTTGTTGATAATTTTCTTTGAGCGCCTCAGACAACTCTGCCTTTTGCTTTCTCTGGTCCATGTTCAGTGTGGTACATAGAATAATAGTGGCTAATTCTCAATTTAAATATGTAGAATGACTGATTTCAAGATTGAAGATGTGTGAGGTGCACTAATTTAAGAAACGTCACTGATCATTTTATTTAAAATCTTTTTAAAAATCATTTAAGATTCTTTGTGCGATATGCAATAATTTACCTCACACTTGTTTTGCTTTATTCAATAAATCAAATGCATGAATGTATACAGGAAACACTAACTGAATTTTTCAGGAAGCATAAAGTACTTTCTCCATGAGTGTTAAGGGTACCAACAAATTTGTCCACGTCTGTAAAATACAGAAAAAATAAACTGACTCACTATGATCAAGGTGCTTTATTAATACTAAAAGTTTTGCATATAAACGAACATTTATCACACAAAAGTAGAATCTTTTTCAACCCAAATCAACATCACATGACTGCAATCCTTTTAACAGACCGATGGTATATAAAGCTTGTTTGGGTTTCTTTTCTCAAGCCAAATTTGAAAACTGATGAGAAAAGATTAAGTTTAAGATTAAGATTAAGATCTAGCCATTAAGTTGAGATCCACTGAGAATGGCAATTGACAAAGTGATATATACAGATAGCGCTGACATGCAGGCTGGTATTGCTTTTGTTTCACCGTTGCAGCCTCTGAACATGAAGGCATCACAATAGGCTCTTGTTGGTTTGTTCTGATAAGTAGTGCCGTATCGAGACTCATGTGATAATGCTGAAACACTCATCGTGAATACGTCACATACATTATCGTCATTATCACCCATCACTATCCAAGCAATGTCTTGATTTCTAATGATGACTAGTTATTTCTTAAACAGCTGCAACAAACTGAAGCAAGCCTAACTAATATTACTTTTGATATAAATTTTAAATGTTAAGCACCGAGATCAAAACGAAGCAAGGGGTTCTGTATTTGTCCTACCAACTGGGTCGTCTTAGTGGTATTTTGTTTATAGCAATCAAGACATATCTCATGGAAACAAACCTAAAGGCTCTGTGATATTAATGTGCCACCCCAATGAAAACTGATAACTTCAAAATTACACACGCAAACTCCATTCAAGGTTACATCTGATGCCATTGATACATTTATGGCACAATTACGCTTTTCATGGTTAATAAAACATTCCAACTTACCCCGGGCAGAATTTTCATATTATGGAGAGCATTTTGTGCTTCTAATGCTGCCTTGCGAGTGTAATATGTTATGAAACAACAGCCTGCAATAAAGGAGAGATTTGAGATACACTTTAGTTTTCATCTTGCCATTAATGGTGAGGTCACACTGTACTAGCTTCTGTTGAACACTTGAATAAGCAATTCGGAACGCTGGTGTGCAGCAGTAAACTTTGGAGGCACCTTTCAGTCACAATATTGTGATGCCAGAGATGTTCACTAGTCACAAAATTAGAGTCCGAGTCAAGTCTGAAGTCTCCATCATGGTTCAAGGACATTCCTGTTTATCAAAATATTTAACTTTTTTTCTATTAGTAACTGATGCGACTAAATGGGAATCACCACTTAAATAGTTCAAAAACTCATAGTTTCTCATAGTTACTTAGGTGTATATACATTTTCAAGAGTCCCCATCTTGGTGTGATGCCACTGGAAAAAACTCACTGAATGTTAAACAGCTGACTGCCAATAACCTTACCTATGGCAGTAGGGATGGGTATTCAAGCAAAACAATAGAGCTTTCAGATACAAAAAACATCATTCTTGGTAAAGCCTGAATTTTAATTCCCACAGCTTTCAACACTTAAAACAGTAAAATGAGTTCAATCCAGATTTTATGGACACACCTGTACCAAGATGTGTGTCTGTTAATGCTGCATGCATGTTAATGATCAGCATAAGAAGTCAGAGGCAATGTGAAAGACATCACAATATCAGATTAAATGTAGCAGTAAGCATTCCTGTCCATTAAGTTTACTTAATAAAACTACAGAATAATGATGTTAGCAAAAGTAAGTTAACGATACAAAAGCCAATCAATTTAAAATTTTGCATAATAAAAATTATTATTATACTATTATTTATATATTATTTATATATTATGTATATATTGTTATAATTATTATACTAATTTTGGCATTGGCTGACATCAATGAATCAATGTAGTGATATTAACAACAGAAAAGCTTTTGTGTTCTACATTCACGGATCAAAGAATCTCCTGGTGGGATCAACAAAGTTCATCGTACCACCTTTCCAGGTAGTGTTTATTTCCTAATGTATGGAAGTAAATCTGTCATCACAATTTGAATTTTATATGCCACTGAAATTCTAACACTGAATATTTATGCATTGGAAATATGCATCGGAAATTCAATGGTCCGAATTCACATGCAAAAATACAAGGTTAAAAAATACAAAGACAACATTTCAAAGTTGCTCCAATTCGATGGTCCTAATTCACATGCAACAATACGAGGTTAAAAATACGAGCTATACATCCGGGATACCAAGGCTAAGCAATCGAATCTGTGGCTGCGTTCGACTTGGGCTTAGGTCTGTCTGCAGCTGACGTGACAAGAGCATCTGGCTGCGGCTGCAGGGGTGGAGTATAAACTTACTGCAGCCAAGTCGGACAACTTCTCCTCATCGTCTGCGAGACCTGACTGCAATGGCAGCACTGCCAGAAGGGTGTAGATAAATCTATACAAATATCACCTGCATGCACATTACTTCTTTTCCAATAACCAGCTCCTGATCCAAACTGTTAGCAGTGGAAAAAAATAAACTATTGTGTATAGTGGCCCTGTGTAAAAAGATAGCTGCGAGGAAAAAGATCAAATACATGTATTTCAAGGAATCAAAGTTTTTATTGTCATGTATTGAGTACAATGCAATTCTTACTTGAATGCCTTCNACTTCTTTTCCAATAACCAACTCCTGATCCAAACTGTTAGCAGTGGAAAAAAATAAACTATTGTGTATAGTGGCTCTGTGTAAAAAGATAGCTGCGAGGAAAAAGATCAAATACATGTATTTCAAGGAATCAAAGTTTTTATTGTCATGTATTGAGTACAATGCAATTCTTACTTGAATGCCTTCTTCACAGACTGGACAATTAAACAAATAAAGCAGCGCAACATTACAGTAACTAACAATAAATAAACCACTAACTTATGTGTACTTTTAGATCATTTATATAATTTATTTAAACTTTATTTTACCAGGTAAATTAACTGAAAACCAGTTATAATTGCTTTACGTCATATTCGGGAGAAATAGCAGATAACGCCTCGGAACTGCCTGGGATACAAACGTCAGGACCAGAATGCATTGCTGTTGTGCTGTAAGCGGCTGAATGAAGTTGAACGCAGCCACAGATTCGATTGCTTAGCCTTGGTATCCCGGATGTATAACTCGTATTTTTAACCTCGTATTTTTGCATGTGAATTTGGACCATCGAATTTCCGATGCATATTTCCATTGCATAAATATTCAATGTTAGAATTTCAGTGGCATATAAAATTCAAATTGTGATGACACAGATTTACTTCCATACTAACGTACAAGCATAAAGTGAAACTGGTCGACCTAGACATTTGTTTTCTTAAACTCCTTAGCTTAGATCACCACCACCACCACCCTTAATGGCAACAACAAACAATAGTACAATCCTTCAGCAACAACCAAAAAACTTCAGCTGTGATCTGAGAAGCTAAAGGCGCTCAGTCGAAAAACTGTTGCAAAGACAGCTGCTTTAAAACTCCAGGCAGAAACATGCAAACACTAAGTGCCTTCCCATTTTAAACCAAATCAGGTTTGAGTAATTACTTTATATCTCTTGTCCAAATGCCATGTGCTATCTTTTGAATATCTAGAACAGAATGTGTTAGTGTGGGTGTTCAGAAATTTTTAAGCTCAAACTGCACAAAAATGTGTTGTTGCAAATTTATTCTGATCTGTGTTTGTCTACAAATTATATCAGCTCCCTAAATGATGCATTCACAACTTTTCTGGATTCTAGAATATAAGCACAATAAGAAACCAGCAAAACCTATCACCCTACTTGCAGAAAAACAACAAAAACAATCCCATAATAAACACTTATGGTATTATGGATAACAGAAGCCCCCCCTGCTGAAATACCCATGCCTGACCTTTGCTCTGAGGGGGGTTCTGACTCCGATCTCGCAGCACGTTGATCTCATAGACGGCACCATAAGGCTCAAAGAGTTCACGCAGCTGCTCCTCCGTCCAGGATCGGGGGATCTGACCCACAAACATCTTAATGGCATCAATGTCAGGCTGGTCTGGATGGTCCAGAGTACCATTCATCTTCTTTGCTCTGAAAATAGAAAGACAGGTAGAGGGGTCACAGTCCGGAAATTGTTGGCACTAAGCCATGGAGGCTACTCATTAAATTGAGCAAGAACGTCTGAACCAGCTTAAAGAGCCTAAACCCTTAACCTTCATGCCCCCTCTGCACTTCAATTTATGTCTATGTTATATCATATACACTTACAATTAGTCATTCCAATAGAGGGCAGAACTTTCAGAAAGTAGCACAGCTGGAAACTGTTTAAGGGGGGGGGGTACCTTTTCTCACTGCTGCACCGCTAAAAATGTACCGCGAAAGATCAGAAATGGAAGATATAGCTGACGCTGGAATTGAAAATGAGACACTTGGTGTTGTCAAAAAAAAACAATTCTCAGATACTAAATTGATATTAAAAATTAGTATCCAATTAGATACTCACTTTCACCATTATTGATACCAACAGAGCAGTTTCCGCCTCATTCGCCACAGGTCACACAGCATCACTACAGTGTACTACTTGACCGGCGTACTCCTTAACATTAGACGTTTATCTATAAGCAGTTAGCCAACAAACACGTTAGCCATGTGTTATCATTAAGGTAGCGGATAGGCGCAATGGCTAATAAAATATAGTTAATGTGGGAACAATGCAAAAACGTAAAACAAAAATGTCCTGTAAAATGTGGTAAACACCCAGTCATACTTTAAAAAAAATACCGTCACATACCGTGAAACCGATATAACTGAAAAATACCATGATATAAATTTTTGGTCATACTGCCCAGGTCTAGGATGAACCGGTTTCTGGTTTCACAAACCACAGCAAATTTACTATAAATTTACTTACTATAATGTGCAGCAGATGAGAAACAAGACAACTTGTTTTTAAGGGGAGACAACGGCCCTTTGTTAAGCCTTTAAAGGGACTAATACAGACATCCAACAACTGAAACACATACTGAGGAAACTCATGGTGGTCTGATGCTGAACGGTAAGGCACACACATGGTGGGTAGTTTACATAATAACTAGACACACGTGAGGACCGGACAGGGTTCATGAAAGACACAGGTGAAGGCACACATGAGAATAGGGAATACGACAAGTATTAACAATAACTCACAATTTTCCCAGCATGCTCCTGAGCTGTTACTGGCTAAGCAATGCGAAGCCATCTAGCTGGGTTGCATTATATTAAATACTGTGTAGCATTAACCAAAGTTAGTAGCAGTCTCCCAGATGCAGTTGTGAAGGTTCAGCATGCAATAAGAGTTTGTTTTCTGTTGAAAACATGGTGGAAGGTGGTCACAGTGCTCAAGAAATTTTTCAGCCTTCTAGAGGACTAGGTCAGAGGTGTTGTCCTATTTTGCCTTTTATAAGACTGCAGTAGGAAAACTGAAGATGGCCACGCTGTCTGCAGAACATGCAGAAAGAACATATCTGTGAAAGGGGTACACACGTCTAGTTTTACAGGTCGTCTCTGAGACCACCACTCTATAGCGAATGCCTGATTTGAGAATTCAGAATGAGTAAAATGTTGCGGTTTGTCCATCTAACGTGGTAATAGCTTGTCAATAATGTAAACCGAATCTTTCGGTGTTACCCACTCTCGGAAAAACATTCCAAAAAAAATGAGATTTCAAGAACAGTCATTATTTTAGAGTGGATATATTAGAATAGCAAGTTTCAGGACAGAAGTGTACGGTGTTTGTTTCATTACGATGCCTATGAAGTTTTTTTTTATATTAAAAAAACCTCTGGCTGTTTTACTTTATTGGCTACATTATTTTAATGTTTAAAATGTATAATGCTGCTAATATTATTTGTGATTTTCAATATAAAACTTGATCAAATGATTACAGTTTGTGTATCAGTACTTTTTGAACATTTTCAGCCCATTTTAACACTGCGATAATACTGCCAACCATGATTTTGGTAACAATAATTGTGATATTAAAATTGTCATAACATTTCATTTCTAAAAAGTGGTAAACTTTAGACATTTAACATATACTACATTTAACATATACATTATGCATTTTGAAAAAGTAACTATTGTTAAAATTGCAAAGCTTGCTAATTTTTGTTTCCGATAACTGACCAAAAATGTTTAAGCACAATGTATTGATGGTTTGAACCCAGTGAGCTACTGCCTGTAACAGCAGGTAGTGCTATCGCTGCACACTGCCAACTGTGTGTGTGTGTGTGTGTGTGTGTCTGTGTGTCTGTGTGTGTGTGTGTCTGTGTGTGTGTGTGTGGGCATTTTGGTGGAGTCTCCAGTTTCCTTCAACTGTCCAGAAACATGCAACTTAACAGAATTGGAGTGCCTTAAATTGACTGAATGTGTGCTCCTGAAATGGTCAGTTGGAACCTGCCTTGCGACAAGGGCAATGTATCAATATAATATTATACAGCTCTGGAAAAAATGGATACCACAGCACAGTTTCCCTTATTTACCAATTTATGGGTGTGTGTCCGATTACTGTTATTTTGCAGACTGCAGCCTTGTTGTTCTCTGTTTTGCATTAATGAAGAACTTGTTCCTTGCTTTATGGGACTCAGTCCTACTTCAAAGATCATGAAATGAACTGTTCTTGCAGTGCACTTCACACCTGCCCTTAATATGTCCCATTCCTTCTGAAGGTCACTCGATGACAATCTCAGATTCATGAGAAAAACTGTTGGATAAGTTAACATCTCTGACATTAGAAAGTTGCTTCTGCCCTTCTGGTCATTCCTGGTGTAGCCTGCTTCACCTTGTGTTTGTGTAGTGGGGTCTTAGAAATATAGAACCTGGAAGCAACCTGCTGTTCAGCGTAGCTTCTGCCAGCAAAACCAGGATTAAACCTGGATTGGAAAATACAGATTTTCTTTAAAATAAAGAGTGGTCTTAATTTTTTTCCCAGAGCTGTGTGTTATACTATATTTTATACGATTATCTGATGAATTGTCAGATTAAAATCAGTATATTACTGGATTATTGATATAACTGATCGCGACAGCACTACATTTAATTTTTGAAGCATAAATTGCAATTGAAATTGAAATTTGAGTAAAAAAAAATCAGTGTTTTTTCTTTAAATCAAACCCTGGAGCCCTACTACAAATACATACAAACATACAATATTCTATGATAAACAACCAAAAAGAAACTCAGCTTCTTGCATGATGGATGTGTAATGAGGTCAAAAACACATACATAACCTGAACACTGCCAGAGGTAAGTAGAACAAGGGAATACTGGTCTAAGTGAAATCCATACAGGAGGGGATGGTGGAGAATAAAATGGTGGATTACTTGGAAGAGCAGGCACCGATAATAAAAAAAGAACAGAGGAGAGCAGAGCCCTGCCTTGGCACCATACATGGGCACAAAGCTATGGCCATCTTAGAGCTCATTGGGCCTGCCAACTGAAAAGCTTCTGCAGGAAATGTGGGAAAGCTTCACTGGCCGGAACTGTACAAAACCCTTAGCAGCAGGACCATTACAATGGGCCAAAGTTCAGACTAAGGAACTGACTAGCTTAAAACGGCAGAAATGCTGAGAGCCAGAGTTCCTGCAGCCACCCTGGCACAAGCATGCAGTATGGGAGTCTAAGAGTACACGACAGAAGATAAGCTGAACAAAAAATACCAACCTACTTCTCTCACATGAACCTTTATAATATATAATAATGTGCTGGACTAAGTATTTTAGTACCAGTGGGGCACTATGAAGAGAATTTTTCAGTAACAACAGTAACCAATTCACAGAGCAAAAATCAATGCAAAAATTTGGGTGATGAAATTGCTTGTGGGGGTTTTACTTCCAAGAGAGAACCAGATTGTAGAGAAGGTGGGCAAGAGACATGTGACTGGTTGGTCCCACCTTCTCTAGTTGGTTAGACCTACCTCCACTACAATCTGACTGGTTCTCTGGACCAATCATTTTTCATTCTGCCCTCAGAACATTTTTGGGAGTAAAACTCCCATGAGCACATATGTTGGCAGGCCATAAGCAGTAGACTTGGTGACAAGATCATTTAGAATGTAATTAAACATTTTAACCACCTCTTTCTGGTCATGCTTTGGGAAAAAGGGCTGTCTTTCAGAAAATATCTGAAAAACAATATATTTTCATGTAGCATGCATGAAAACTACTGCAGTGTTACTACTAAATATTCTACTCAGCTATTCAAAATGAATTCTATATCATCCTAGGACTGGGCGATATATGAATATATCGTTCATTGTGCAATAATCACCAGGGCTTCAGATGACAGGCAAAACATTTGGCCGAACACCAATTTTTCGATATGATATCGCCCAGCCCTATATCATACTACCTCATAGCACACAACAGCCTGTAAAAATTCAAACACAGGCTTCCCATTCTGTTCAGGAGTACATGATCTCAGTTCTGTAGTTCACCATGTACACTGTACAAGATAAATAAGTGCTAATTGAATTTGTATTTTAAAACCTAGAGACGCACTGATTGCATCTGTCAACTAATCGGTATTGGCCAATATAGCAACAATCGGCCATCAGTTGATGGTTGAAATAAGCCATATATTAACGCTGATTAATTTCCTTTAAAATGGTAACCTATATTGTTTTGCACATGCACATACTAAACAGTTAGAAAAATGTCTGCTGTGTGGAATTATTTTAACATTAGTGAAAATGTTAACGCATTTTGCAAATGTTGCTCTGCTAAAATTTAATTAGGAGGATCTACAAATAAACATTTACACAACGTATTTGATTGCTCACCTTAAGGCGAGACAGTGAAGACTATAGTGTTTCTGAAAAACAAATCTGTTCCAATAAAGGTGGCTGCGGTTTTGGTGAATAATGCTAGTATGTCAGTAACCCAAACTTTTGATAGCAAAAGAAAATTCAGTGCAGACATTGCAAAATTAAAATATATTACTCTGAAAATTATGGCATTGATGATCAGTTCTCTGTTCTAAATCTAAAATGTATACAGTCGAAATAATCGGCTATTAGTATCGGCCAGAAATCTCTGTGGTATCACTAATTAAAT